TCTTAGTGTATTTAACAATTTTTTGTAGTGAACTGATCTATGGTCGGTTATTTCAATCGATTGATCATTCTTAGCCGCACCATGTATTCTATTTCCGTTATGCGTAATTTGTTTAATGATAATTCCCAAAGTTTGACCCACTGTCATGAATGGATAATGAGTAGCGTGCAAACCACAGTTGGACCGATAGTTTGTTTTTATGATACGAGCAAGGATGTCTTCGTAAGATTTCGAAACGTGGAAATCGTGATTTTGATTTATTCACTGTCTATATCAACTAACAAAACGTAGAGACTCGAAAAGTCATTTTTCGTAATAGCATCTCAAATATCGATCACGATTAAAGTAAGATTAACGACTACGGCAGTTCGAATCCTGGTTTCACTGGTCTCCTGTAGTAAGATTGGCCGCGTTGAGACTTCTTTGTAGAAGGGTTAGAGGTATTACAGTCACACTATGTCGACCAGAAGTCTTATACGAACGAGAATGGATAACTAGATGGCTGGGCACTAATGCACACTACACTCGTGACTAACATATTCTTGTTTTTAATAGAACAAATAATGAAAGTTGGTGGATATGTTTTCTTTTTTGCTCTAATAATGATTCTAAATATCACGTGCGCACAAAATTAGGCAACACGAATTACCATCCCGACCGTAACTATTACTTTGATATAGTAAGCAAAATGATTGTGACCATCCAATTTAACTATATTAGCTAAAGTAATTATACTGAAAACCCTACCAGATCTTGTAACAAACTGAAGCAAAAATTTAAGGACAAAATTCAACTGAGATTTGTCGGTAGGTTTTTTTACTGGTAATCAAAAATCTTCAACAAAGCTGTTCTCCAAGTTTTATGTTAACATCTTTGAAGATGAGTTTACCAATTTAAACTATTCCAAATAAGTCATTTACGAAGTACTTGTTTGTATTAAACAAATAAACATTCAGCCCAACCTACTGAATACTCAGGATTGTCAGATAGCAGTAAATCGATGATTATTACACAGACTATGCATTCTCCCGAGTTGTTCCAATTAAGGAATATATGGTATTACTTATGGAAATCGTAAGAAGCTTAATTCATAGATCAATGATGAAAAATTATCATAAGCTACTATATATGTGCTTTATCAACTCCACGGTTGCTACATTTTCAGAAACCAGAGTGTAATGAACAAGTAAGTCGAAGAATAAGTGCAAGTTATGGTGAGACTTACTGTATTCTATACGCTTATCTAGTTGACGAAGAATCTTCAATGAGTCAAAAATTCATGGACGACCTCTGAGCGACGCTTGAGTGCCTGCCTAGTAACTAGGACCAAATGAGGTTTATAAACCAGTTTGGGGAATCAGAATTATGATTTGCAGTCGATGGTTAAGGATAGGAATTAGATTTAGGGTTTTCATCACGAACTGACCATCTATAATCCCAAAACTTTATTTACACAAATGAATGAGTGAATTTCGCGCGAAATCCAAGACCTGTTATCTTATACCTGATTGGTTTTCCCATAAATTATAGTCTCGCCCAAGTTATATTTATCTAATAGCTAAAATTTTGACTATTATTTCAAATTACCGATCACATTGATAAATTTACCTGCGAACTAACAGACAAAAGTGCACTTTCATGCATTTAGTTCACACTTTTGATGTTGTTGACGTTGTACCCCATATTCAAATTGAATTCTGTTTGTTGTCATACAAACAAATCGATAATATTTAGTCTAGACTTTATTAATATTATTATTGTTGACCTACGCCTGTTACTCCTCGTGAAGGAGCATAGGCTGACCACCAGCACTCTCAATCTAACCCTGGCCTGGACAATCCTTTCTAGCTCCTTCCACTTGTTATTCATCCTCCCTATCATATCTGTTCCTATTTCCCAACGTAATGTTTTCTTTGACCTTCCTCTTTTCCGCTTCCCTTCAGGATTCCAAGTTAGCGATTGCCTTGTGATTCGCGTAATATATATCCTATCTATTTCCAACGTCTTTTCCTAATTTCCTCTTCAACTGGAAGCTGGTTTGTTCTCTCCCACAAAAGGCTGTTACTGATGATATCCGGCCAATCGATATTGAGTATCTTGTGCAGACAACTACTCATAAATACTTTTACCTTCTTGATGGTGGTTGTAGTAGTTCTCCAAGTTTCAGCTCCATACAGTAGAACTGACTGTCTTGATGTTCGTATTGAAGATTCTCACTTTGATATTGGTTGAAAGTTGTTTTGAGTTCCATATGTTCTTCAACTGAAGGAATGCGGCCCTTGCTTTGCCAATCATCGCCCTCACGTCTGCATCTGAACCTCCTTGTTCATCGATGATGCTTCCCAGGTATGTGAAGGATTCTACATCTTCCAGAGTTTCGCCATCAAGAGTGATTGGATTGCTGTTTTCCGTGTTGTATTTGAAGACCCTGGTTTTCCCCTTGTGTATGTTGAGGCCTACTGATACAGAGACTGCTGCTACACTGGCTGTCTTTATCTGCATTTGTTCGTGTGTATGCGATAGGAGGGCTAGGTCATCTGCGAAGTCCAAATCGTCTAATTGGTTCTGAGCTGTCCATTGTATTCCGCGTTTTCCCTCAGATGTCGAGGTTTTCATAATCCAGTCGACCACCAAAAGAAAGAGAGTAGACAGCCTTGTCTGAATCCGGTCCTTACTTGGAATGCGTCTGTCAGCAGTCCTCCATGCACGACTTTGCATTGTAGTCCGTCGTATGAGTTTCGGATAATATTGACAATCTTCTCAGAAACTCCGTAGTGTCGAAGAAGTTTCCATAATGTCCTCCTATCAACACTGTCAAATGCGTTTTCATAATGAATGAAGTTGACGTATAGTGACGAGTTCCACTCAACTGATTGTTTGACGACGATACGTAGTGTCGCGATTTGGTCTGTGCACGACCGATCTTTACGGAATCTAGCCTGTTGATCTTCAAGTTGAGCGTCTGCTGAATCTTTTATCCGGTTCAGCAACACTATTCAAGACTTTCCCTGGTATTGACAGTAGTGTGATGCCTCTGTGGTTTTCACATTTGCTCAGATCTCCTTTCTTCGAAATGTTGAAGTGTCCTTCTTTCCAGTTCATCGGCACTTGTTCCTCATCGAAAATCTCTTTCAACAGAAGGTAAAACATATTTGTAGTTACTTCGATGTCTGACTACAGCGTTTCAGCTGGTATGTTGTCGGGTCATGATGCTTTCCCGCTCTTGATTTGTCTGATTTCTTCCGTCATTGGTGCATTGACAAATATAGGAAGATCTGTGTGTACTGCTTCAATGTCCGGCTTATTCAGGAGTTCCCTAACGTACTCTACCTATCTTTTCCTCTGTTCTTGAATTCCAGTGATTGGCCTGCCTTCTTTGTCCTTGACCGGTCTCTCTAGTTTATTATATTTCCCTGCTAGTTTCTTCGTTGTATCGTAAAGCTGTTTCATATTTCGTTCTCTTGCAGCTTTTCCGCCGTCGTTGCTAGTTCTTCCACGTATTTCTTCTTGTCGACTCTAATGCTCCTCTTCACTTGCTTGTTTGCTTCTATGTACTCAGCTTGTGCCTGAACTTTCTCTGCTCGTGTTCAGCTGTTGTTAATTGCTGTCTTCTTGTTCTTCCTTTCTTTGATCTTGTCCAATGTTTCTATAGAGATCCATTCCTTATGATGGTGCTTCTTTAAACCCAGAACCTCTTGACACGTTGAAATTAATGTTTGATACCTTTCCATTTTTCCTCCATAGTAGTTTCTTCTTCCTTCAGTAGATCTTGTAAGGCTTGGAACCTGTTGTTGAGAGCTATCGTGAATTCATTGAGTCTGTGAGTATCTCGAAGGAAGGCTGTATTGAACCTTTGTAGTGCTGTTTGTCCAGTTCTTCTTTAGCTTTAGTTTTAAATTGGCCACAAGGTGGTGATCTGAAGCTATGTCAGCACCCCTCCTGGTTTTCACATCTTCCATTGTCCTTCGGAATTTTTTGTTGATGCGAATATGATCTATCTGGTTCTCGGTAGTGTGGTCTGTTGAGATCCATGTAGCTTTGTGTATACGTTTGTGTGGAAATACTGTGCCGCCTATGACCAATTTGTTGAATGCACATAGATTTGCAAATCTTTCTCCATTTTCGTTTCTCTCTCCCAGTCAATCCATGTCATCCCATGATATCTTCATATCGGGTGTTGTCTATCCCAAATTTGGTGTATAGATCTAGCATCAGAATGGTGAGGTCCTTTCGTGGGCACTTCTCTATGATTGATTGCAGTCTCTCATAAAATTGATCTTTAATGTCGTCGTTGCTATCATTGGTGGGTGCATAACATTGGATAATATTCATTAAGATCCCCTCCTTCTTTGTTTTGAATGATGCTTTGATGATTCTGGATCCGTGAGATTCCCATCCTACAAGTGCATTTCGTACTACTTTGGACAGCATAAGAGCGACTCCCTGAGTGTGTGGAGCATTGTCCTCTTCGTGACCGGAGTATAGCAGCATCTCTCCCGTAGCTAGCCTTTTCTGTCCAGCTTGGGTCCAGTGGGTTTCGCTGATTCCCAGTACTGCTAAGTTGTATCTCCTCATTTCCATTGCTATTTGACTGGTCTTCCCGGTTTCCCACATTGTTCGAACGTTCCATGTACCTATAAAGATTGTTGCTCTGGTTGTTAGGAGGGGCATCGGCCTCGTGGCTTCCGAAGGAACTCGGCTTTCATCATGAGGGTTCATAGTTCTTCTAAATGCAGACCTTCTAACTCCCAGGACAGAGGTTAAGTGGTTTGAATTATTTCTCCTGGTTAGCGTTTTTTAGCGAGCTAGTTTTCTACAAGATGGGGTCGCTAAGCCCTTGCCCAACCCTCCTCCTTTACCTAGGCTTGGGACCGGCAATAACTCTAAAAGAGCTACAGGCGGAGTTATTGTTGTTGAGTAAATTGTCATAATATAGGAATGTAAAATGAAGACAACTTCATACCATAACATTGAAGTAAATGTTTCTATGCGATGAATTACGTTAATATGTGGTTGTATATTATATATATTCGATATAACTTTCACCAATGAATGTTAACGATAGAAATGCGAATAACTATGAAATGAAAATTTTACATAATTATACTATGAATAATGTTATATTGAATGTTAATCATTACACAATTATGAATTGAATTCTTATTGTGCTTTATTAATAAAACATATAATCATCATCATTGTTTACTACCATGATTAGGTGTATATATGAATGATTATTAAAAAATACCATTAAAGAAATAATAATAATAATAATGATTAGAAATGCAAATGTTCAGATGTAGGTATGTATGTCTATTATTAAAACATTATAAGTAGTATAATTGAATAAACAACAATAATATTACTAATGAATATATGATTATTATTATAGGAATATTAAAAGACAAAAAATAAATGATCAATCCAACAATGTATTCAAGAAATCAATCATTATTATTATTATCGCCAGTAGAAATGCAATTCATGATTGATTACAATAGTTTAGTAATCAAAATCAACTGTGTTCATGTCATTGTGTAATTGTCATCAAATGAGTAAGGTTCCAAATCAAAAAGATAAGCAATTCATGTTATACGAAGAGAGAACAAAAAAATGTAATAAGCAGATTGATTTCCAAAACTTAGAGACTGACTTCTTTGTCTTGAATAGAATTTAAGAACAAGACATGATTACATCACGTACTACTGACACACGATGATTATCACGTGTTGATGTGATTGTGGCATCTTCTAGAAGAACATCTACAATTTCACATTTGGAATTGTCTAAAATGGTAATAAACAAAACGAAAAACAGATACAGAATCCATGAAATTATATGACACAACCGAAATAAACTATATGACCTTCGTTGTTGTTATTTGATTGGTTACTCACTTCTAGTTTACTAGTTTTACTTGTCATAAGGTCACGTCTTGCAACTAAATATCGAGAGTTATTCTAGTTTAAGCTCGTCCGTCTAAGTTTTCCTGACCTTATCACTTTCTCCTGTTTTCCATCATATTGAAGATTATTACCCAAGTGTTGTATTAGTCACTCGATCTATCGAGTTCTCATTGGATTCCATGTGCATGAGAAGAATGCCGAGTGCTCATAACTAGAAATTGCCGAAGGTGAAAACTTCATTTTGTCACATGCTGAAACATCAAAAAAAAATAGTCTACCTAGTGTATATTTAACAAAAAAATAACCATTTTGGGTTGGGCTTAGAGTATTGTTATCAACGTCGTTATTACTTTGAAATACCTTTGAAAAAAACAATGCTCTCAAATGGGACCAAATGCCTATATTAGTAAAAACCAGCATGAATTAATATCTAATCTTAACAAATCGTAAGAATAAAGAGATCGCTTACCTGATTTCATTAATTTTCTTGATTTATCTGGCATCTCTGGGGTCAAGTTCACACTACGTACTCGACGAATATTTTCACGATCTAGCGTTATAGAAAGAAGACACAAATTACAATGAAGTAGGAAAGTTAACTTAATCAGTAAAATGAAATCGTATAAAATCTCATTAACCAAAACGGTGCATAAATTACACTTTAGTCATGAAATAATATCTCTATCTTAGGTCTACTTCATGTCATGATTTCATTACTGAAGAGTATGAAACATAAGTTGGAAAATAAGTAGTTAAATATTAAACCAATACAAAAGTTATGTTATCGTAGTTGTTTCTAACACTATTAATTGTAGCTATTATATATGCTTTTTTCAATACTGAAAGAGATGTGCCTGGTCAGTCAGCTACAACGTAAGACCAGGCACATATATGCGTCGGTCCAAGTTACCATACCGCATTAGCACAACAAAATGGACACCGGATTCATAAAAGATTGCAATAAGGATATAGTATAGGAAGAAAGAATTAGTTAGTAGAAAGAAAGAAAGATATGAAGCAATTTTAATCTCTTAGTTTAAGGGACGATAGAGAGTGTATACACCGACGCCATTGTGATCGATTCCGAATCATGTCACCCATAGTCTCAAACCATTAGTTACGATAGTCAAGCGGACCCCAACCAAATAATCTGTATCTACTAACATGGCTTAGACTAGAAGTGAGTGACTTCAAGCACTAATTCCACATTTTGGTTTGACCAACCCTAACTTTCTTCCAGCCATCTCCAACACCGATTAGCATTGTGTATCATGGTACATATTCAACATTTAATAAAAATCAAATTGGAAAGTTCAATATTTTGCTTATTATACAGATTTATAATGATTTATCATTATATTATAATCAAATTCATAATAATTATTAATATTGAATAATGAATAAATATATAATTCAAAAATATTTACATAAATTAATATGTAATGATATTAAATAGTCAATAGTAGTAACTAAATAGAAATAAGTTATAAACATAAAATATCAATATTTATCATATATCATGTTGGATTTTAATAATCTCTAATGTTTCTATACTATTTTATAAATTAATTATACAAAATGATATGACAATGCCTAACATCAATTAAACAATTGGAAAATAGATAGATAAAATTATTATTTGTTTTTACTGTGGAGTATTGGTAAGTTATTGTTATTGTTCTTTTTTAGGTTGGCACAGTAACTAATTGATTAAGATACTTAGGTTTCAACTGTTGATGGTATTACTGAGTGTCGTAGTAAAAATGTCTTAGAGACAAAATACAAGAATCTGTGCATAGAAATGAGTTACAAAAGTTGAATAAAACAAACACTGCATTTATAGATTCTTTATCTGGTTCTTGTTCCCAAGTACCCTGGTACGATATTAGGTACAAATTCAATTTTTTCTCTCCCAAAGTTATCGTATGGCTGAGGGTTTATAGCCTCTTCTAGAGAAGTGCTACCCACTGCTTTTATGGGGTGGTGTTTACGAAAAAGAAGAGATGAAAGTGGACGTTTGTCAATTTAATCTAGTTTACAGAAATGAAGGATCAACATAAGAATCAAGAAATACTGATTCGGGAAAAAATGATGAAGACTTTATATTCAAAGACTAACCAGGTAGAAGGATACGCAGAATATCTGCCTGATCACTGTTATCATAATCACCTACAAATGGATCTGGATTGCCCGGCTTTATTGATTCATCTGGCATCTAAATAGTAAAATACAATAAAATTGAGGAAAAATGCAAAATAAAACAATAGAGGTAGGTTTTGTTTGATAAAGATAGTCCGTGTTCTCATTCACGAGATATAACAAAAACCTAATCCAGGGATTACCGCCAAATTTAATTTTGAACCATGACTGGTAAATTGCACAATCTTTAACACCCTGCAAAAGGGGTCATGATGGACCACTAAATAGATATGCGCCACATAAATCATTCGATTTGTGTGAGGGCTGTGTACTTCCCGGATGCCCAGATCGGGCCGTTTGATATTCCATACCACTGTCATAGATTGATCACTTTTCTGGTTTTTACATATGACCGCAATGTCGGAAAATTTTTCACCGTACGGAACGTTGATGGAACGAAAATGCTCCAACTATCGAGGCAGAGATATCATAACAACACTAATAGGAATTTTAGAATGGGATTGTGGAGATTATTCAATTTCATTGAAATCGTGAACAACCCTAAGTTTAACAACCATCGAAAACCTGAAAACACTGGACGGTATTGAGTTTTAGAAGCTCCTTAGCAGTGTGCAACCACAGCCCCGCCTGCGTAAATCGAGCTCGGGATATTCGGTTTAGCGAGCGAACGCTTGACCTCTAGACCACTGAGCTAGCTTCCAACGATGTTAATGTTTAACATCTGTCAGTCTACGACATTGAGCGACTATTTTAAATTGTCTTCGGTGCCTCACACCCGAGACAGATTAGCCCAACTGATAACGGCTTCTCACTAATTACTTACTCCTGTTACCCGGTCTTAAGCCCGGGTGAAGGAGGAGGGTTGGGTGTGGGGTCAGCATCCCCACCCCATAGAAAATAACCTTGCTAAAACACGCTAACCAAAATAAACAAATTAGAACAATTAAACTCTGCCCTACAAGTTGAAGGAAGAATTATGACGCCTCATTTTGAAAGCTGATATTCCTCGGAAGCCACAAGGCCAATGTCTCCTAACAACCAGAGCAACAATTAATATGGGTATATAGAATGTTTAGACAATTTAGGGGACCGGGAGGACCAAACAAATAGCTGCCGAAATGAACAAACTACCCGGTGGTTCCCAGAATAAGTTAAACACATTGAACCAAGCTGGGCAGAAAAAGATAGATCAGGGAGAGATGCTGCTGTACTGGTGCTGTCTGGTCACGAAGAAAGTGCTCCACACACTCAGCGGGTTGCTCTGGTGCTGTCCGAAGAAGCACGAAAAGTAATCATTGGATGGGAATCTCATAGACCCAGAATCATCAAAGCATCTTTCAAAACAAAAAAAAATGAGGGAATCACAATGAATGTTATCCAATGTTCGAAACCCACCAATGATAGCAATGAAGACGATAAAGAAGGTCAATGGAGGACGTGAGAACCAGGAGGGGATCTTATACAGCTGCAGGTCACCATCAACTGGTGGTTGCCAAGATGAAACTGAAGCTGAAGAAGCATTAGACAACTAGACAAACAGCATTACAAAGGTTCAATACACCCTCCCTTCGACACAGTGACAAACTCAAACAATCAAAGATAACTCTCAACAACAGGTTTCAAGTCTTAGATCTACTGAAGGAAGAAACTGCTATGGAGGACAACTTGAAAGGGACCAAAGAAGCATTAAATTCAACGTGTCAGGAGGTTCTGGACCGCAACAAGTACCATTATAAGGAGTGAATCTCGGTAAGTTTGATATGGTGCTTGTTGTGACGTTTGGTCATGAATTTTTTATGATCGCATCCAATGGAGACATCGTTTTAAAGATTACTTTAATCTGGTTTATGTTCATGTGTATATTTTTTTGTATAGGAATTCGTTTTTGAGTAACAAATTTCTAGGTGGGATTAAGAGCTGTAAACATGTAAATGATCTAAAACATCCCTCTATATTACTAAAAATCGGAATGCAAAAGTCATTACCATATCCGAGCTTTCCATGTTTCAGATGAACAGTAGGTGGATTCAAAAATATGTACGACACGTAATTCTTTGTTTTCTTTCTATCCTAGCTAACTCAAAACTTCGCATTTGCATAGAATGGTCTCAGATAATAATAATAATAATAATAATAATAATAATAATAATAATAATAATAATAATAATAATAATAATAATAATAATAATAATAATAATCTACACACAACGAACATTTTTACATGAGAAAAAAACTTACAGCGGGCATTATATCTCCTTTATATTCACTTATTGGAGGTCTTGTTGAGACTAGACGAAAGGCTGGTACACCAGCACACCATGACATAATCAATGAATTATGAATAGTATTATATGGATCTCTATCTATATACCAAGGCTCTGTAACAGGATAACCTTCCACCGAATCCTTTAAATCATTTCCATCCTAATTTCACAAATTTGAAGTTGAGAGAAGATAGATGTTATGTATAATGATAAACTGGATTAAAACCACACGTTTTATTACCGATATTTAATCAAACTGCTGTTAGCTAAGCGAGATGAGACACATTAAAAACAGAGAGAGTAACTTATAACGAATAATTTCTATCATCCTTTCTCAAATTAGTAAAGAATATAGTAATTACCAACCATGTGTAACTCAGAAAAACACTGTTGTGTTATATCGTCTGTTAACACTGAGTGGTGTTTTTTTCTTTGAAAACAAATGACCAATAAAGTAGGCAGAACTCTTCATTGTGTAATAATTATACCACATGGTGGCTTGATTTAAATCAGTTCCGGGTATTATATTTACAAACTTTTAAGAGAAATTAGCTTCAACGATTATCAACCTTTTATTAGCAGCCGTCCTACTATTGGATGCATATACATTGTGACTCGTTGCTCTAATCCTCCTGTTTATAATTTTGAAGTTGTTTGGAGCTTTTATTATTGATCTGTACATTAAATTTATATCTGTATATATGTTGATTTATTAGGTCACGTCCAGCGTTGGACCTGGCATAATTTAGCATCTATTCAATTTGATATACCACATCGGTACAGTGAGGTGCTAGAATAGAAGTAGTAATAATATCCGTGGTGAAAAATGTTAAATGTAGGCCATATCATTCAAGAGAGATATGAATTCACGAAATAAAAGAGCATGAAAAAACTCCGAAACTTAGGACCTAAGAAAAGATAAGGAGTGAATGAATGCATTGTGACAAACTATGAGCCACGTCATCCAAATTTTCTAGCAATTGAAGATAATCGTGTGTACACCAACTGTGCAGGCTTTACCTATCTACATAGCTCAATTCAACTTCGAGGGTCTCATGGGCTTACACCGTGTATATCTTGGACAATTCTATCCTTTTCCTAATCTACTTCCACACCATCCTATATCCCACATCGAGATATACGGCTGTTGGGCATAACTTAACACACATTCCAACCACCTTGGTGGATGATGATTTGCAACATTATCAAATGATTTGTCATCCTTGCGTATAACTAACCTCAGGACTACTAACTCGGTGGACAATGTCCATGACAAAGCTAAATAAAAATAAGTGAAGTGGATAGTCCTAACGAACATCATTTGATGTTATCAATCTCGATGGGTTACCCAGTCAGTCAGTCAGTAACAACGTGGAACTTCGTACGTACGTACATCAGTTCCAGTTGCCATACCACATTACAATTGTCGATTCAAATCCCATTGTGGTAAAGGTAGTCAAAGTATAAGCAGTAATCGGAAACACTAGGGTTTGAAGGTGTTATTCAGTCAGTCATCAGTCAGTCAGCTACAACGTAGAACCAAGGAGTATAATCCAGTGAAATAAATTTAGAAAGAAAATAAAGGACGTGAAGAATTCAGAAGATTAGAATTTGGGAGAACACAAAGAGTTGATGCACTTGCGCTATTGCAAACGATTTTGAACCATGTCATTCAAGGTCTCTAACCATCGGTTACTATCGTCTCGCGGATCCCAACCAGGTGGTCTACACCTACCAGTAGTGTTTAATATTCTGTGCAATTGTTGGGGATGTGAGATCCTCAAATACAACTTACGAGAAATGAAATAAATATCGACTTACGATAGATATGAGGTCAACTTCAACGCATCTCGTTGCAATACGTTGTGAACTATCAATTTATTTTTACTAAGATATATCAGGTGACAACTAATCGATTTGTAAATTCGAATCAATGTAACCAATATGTGACAGATTAATGTAAGTGAATTTTCGATTCTACGGTGATCATGATCAACATAGCTTGTACAACGGAAGTAAACCTCTTACTCTAGTTAGCGAAGTATAGTAAAAGAGAACAGATGATCCTAGTTCACTGTGTTAAAGTCGGGGTTGAGAAATATTTACTTAGTACACGAACATATCAGAAAGCTTTCCAACGACACACTGGCATTTGCTAGTATCTAGCTCCTACAAGTAATCTAGTATTTCTTTTAGTAAATTTGAAGTCTAAAGTTGTAGGCATGTTATTGATATTATTTTGATTAAATGAAAGAATTCTGAGTAGTAGACAATATAAAATGATGTGATGATTGTTGACAAGAATGTATGTTAATGATTTACTGAACGTCATGACAAAGTGCAACATTATATATTAAACAACAATAAAATAAGTTAATTGGTTACTTCTTCTTGCTACATTATCATCTTGCGTAAAACAGTAACTTAGACAAGAGTGACCATCCTGGTTAGAGACTCGATGATAATAATGATAAAAAATGATAACGATAATAATAATAATAATAATAATAATAATAATAATAATAATAATAATAATAATGACAATGATAATACTCGATAACAAATAATACCCGACGACCTGCAAGCTTCAAAACCTTTAAAGACAGGGGTGATTTTTCTGTCTTGATAACCATGCTTTGAAGTAACGGAAGATATGTCGTAACGAATAACCGATTGATTGTTGTAGTATTTTGTCTCGAGTTTAGGCCTACATTCCGTCCCTACTGTGTAATGAGACAGTAAATTATTCTGCATGTTTCTAATAATTTATTGGAGATCTGTGGAACTGTTTTAGAGAATGTACGATCATCGACTTATTTTTCATAAATAAACAATTTTAGTATTTACATAGGATCGTAGTCGTACAGGTTTGAATGTTTTTTCTTCTATGATAACTGAATTAGGGATGAGCAACCTCAAATGACAACTTACGAGAAGTAAATCTAAATAGAATAGGTCGAAATTCTGTTACAGCAAACAATTCAGTGCTAACGCTTCATGAAATCCCAATTTATTTTTACGATGACTTTTGTTGATGACAAATACTCAGTCTAAATATCCAAACCTATTTTTATCCCGTTTGTGTTGCTAACTTGACTTGGTGATCGAGCTTGCCTATTGTGATGAACCAATCGCGATATACTGGTTTGGACAACCGTTTCTCAAGGTCCTACCATGTCAGATAGGTCGGTTGAATAGCGGTAAGACGAAAAGCAACAAACCCAAGGTCCGAAGGCGAAGTCGTACTGCTCACTGTACAGAGGTGTGACAACAGTAAGGTGTTTCATTCAGACAACCAGCATGACAGCGATGCTGTCTTCCCACAAAGAAGGGTGGAGTTAGAATAGGTCGACCCTAAAAATGCATAACTCGCCTTATCCCACGGATATTCGTCTCCGGCAGTAAGGTCTAAACAAGGACGGAGCTAACACAAAAACTACTCATAAAAAGGTTGTGTGTGACCGACCTCAAGCAGTTGTCTCTTGGGCACTGTGGTCACTAAGACCACCTTTAATCCTATTTCCTTTTCAAGTACCTTTAGAAGAACCATTCCACGGTGTGGGTAGCCGGGAAGTGATAACCGCCATCAAGACCACTGTATTCATAATCAATCTCCTTCAATCATTTTTATTGATATACAATCGATAAGCTTAATGTACTTAGATTAATTATGGTGACAAACACCAATAAGCTTGATCTACTTGATCTTCTTGTACTATATCTCTATATGCAATCTTTCTCTTATATATTACCACCTTTTACCTAACCACTGTTATGAATCCGGTGTTCATCTTGTTGTGCTGATGCGGTATGGCAACCTGGAGCGATGCACATAAGTGCATGGTTCTACGTTGTAGCTGACTGACTGACTGAAGCTTGATCTACTAAACTGGTGTTTGTACTCGAGTTAATGAGAGTAGAGAAAAGAAGAGAATCGAAATAGTTTTGTCCATAGTACTGGTCGGAGTAGCGAATCACTAACTTAGCGCACTAACGTATCAAACTGGACGTCAGCTTTCACCTAAGTTGAATTTCAGAATTTCGTAACGTAAAAATAAACATCTGAAGTTTTTAATCGCTATATTCCACCGTAGTCTGTAATGTATTTTAGGTCATACCGAGGAAATTTATTAGTTCCAGTATATTATGATTGTTTCGAAGTCTTGTTGTTATATTTTGGCGAATGTTTAACTTCTACTCTTACATAAACAGATAGGAAGTTGAATGGGTAAGTAGCATAAGTATTGGCTCGTCAGGGCCTGAAATGTAATTAGTCTACCGTAGTTTAAGCGAATGAGTAGCAATGTTAAACAGTAGTTGGGTCGATAGAAAAGGTACGAACAAAATGGTTTGAACTTCACAAAAATTAGAAGAAACTTACATTTAGTCGACGCAGATAATCTTCAATTCCGGATCCTCTTAATTCAGCTCTCAACGGTCTGATGTAGCAATGCTTATTTGTTCTAATCACTGTCAAGCCCTCAGAGAACAGATGCAAAATACGAATCACATTGTAGTAAGGTACTTCAGATAGTGTAACATTGAGGAAATTATCATCTGTCGTAATAGATTCTACAGGATCTATTTTTAAAAATGGAATACGAATGCGACAAATTGATCTGTGTGCATTTGCTTTATGATTAAGTGAAGTTAACGGTCTATAACCAAGGATGTATAGCAGCAGAAATACACTAGCAATCATTAACAATGTGAACAAGACGAATAATGAACCCAATATGAAAGGACGGCTACGGCTAGTACGTCTTGATGGAGGTGATCCATAGACTTCCGACCCAACAGGTGGACGAAGAACAAGAGGTTCCAGCTAAATTCAAGAAAAATTGAGGGTGCTATTACTGATAAAAACCATAAACATATCAAAGAACCTTTTGAAGAAAGTTCAACGAAAAATCGGATGGTGATAACTGTGTAATCATTACTTACAACTTTGTCCCAGAAGCAGAGTGAATCCAAGAACGACTCTTTGGTATAAAACATCCCTTGTCTTGTATTCGCGAAGTGCTTGTCCATAAGTTTAATTACGCAATATGAAATATTTGGAGAGTACGTATATCTATTAATTCTGGGAATGGTTCTAGCACTAAACAAATTCGACAATTCAAGAATATTACACATGACTTAATCGGTGCAATGGGGTACGTCCCCCTAAGAAAACCACCTGCTTCAGTTTTGGCACCCGCACAGTATCACAGCCCTCACACAAATCAATGACAACTGCTACTGACCTCACTGTAATTGTGTGGCACATATGTATTTGGTGCCACCTCGTACAAATGTTGTATTCAAATAAGTAAGCAAATAATGGCATCAGCATTATGAAACGAACTAGACAAGAAAATTGGAGACAAATAATTGAAAGCTAACGTCCGGAAAGTGGAGAATTAAACATCAGTACTTACACTACTATATACAGCTCATGCATATTGTCCTGTTAATGAAATTTATTTAATGTTGTCATTATATTTTTTTCAGTTTAATATTTCTTACGAAGTTTAGGGGAAATCTAAACTCTGTTAATCTAGTCATTTGTAATCATCCCGACTGCAGTTGATTGATGACCTAATATTGATATACTAAAGTTGACAGTCAGTCACAACATAGAACCTGATTAGTATTTACATCGGTCAAAGTTGCCATACCCCATTAGCACAGAGACGATTGTTGGGTCAATTCCCAGAATAGTAGAGGTAGTAACAGTATGTGGTAATAGGATAGACTAAGCATAGAACGCATAGAGAGAAAATAATCTAGTGAAATAAAAACTAAAAATGTCATGAGGGACTTAGAATCTCAGAATTCGGAGGAAGACAAAGAAAGGATGGACCTACGACGTTAAAAAGTGACTTTAAGCCATGTCATTCCAAGTACCTAATCACTGATGATGACAATCACGCGGACCCAACCAGGTAGTTTATACCAATTTACATGGATAAGTCCAATTGTCACTGACTTCACGGAGTGAAGCCGTGTTTTGGTTTAGCCGCTTTTGTATTTTTTCCAGCCTACTCCTCCACCAGAAAACATCATCAGTGAAGGTGAGCGGTTGAAGGGTATACGCAACATATCCTGACCTCAGTTGAAAATTTACTACTGTATTAACAAATTTACCATCTTTACTTAGCACTTCATTCCTTATAGAGGCATTGTCTATTCCGTGGTCTCAAAATACAAGAACAGTACTTCGTATACACTAGTAGCCTATGAATATCCTCTTCTTAGTAGCCAGGTCTCATACCCACAAAGTAGAAGGGAGCAAACTGCTGTGCGGTAAACTCGCCCCTTAGTTGGGAGGCGGATACTTTGTCAGGAAGAACTATGTCTGAACTATACATGAAGACCAGAAACTGTGAATGAAACTAACTCAGTTCTTTCCCGAGTTTACCCTACATATTTTGTATTGCCCATCTTCAGCCCACAGGAACTGATATTGTATGTTAGTCCTGGTTCGCAGAACACAGGACTTCCTTAGTCTCAAATAAGAGAAGCTTTTCAATATGTAGAAATAGGAAAGCACGAGTTGCTTACAATACCTTTTCCGAAAGGTCCTATTTAGGTAGACTAATATCGACGACCAGAGAGCAACCAAACATTCCAGGTAGAAAGCTTAACACAATGCGTCAGGCCACTTTTCGTTAAAATCGGGTCGCTTTTGAGAAATGATTCAGGACATGAAAATTTAAGTAATACATGTGATGACAGTCAACCGATAAGAGAACGAGTTATATTGCAAGTAATTTTTCTTAAGTGCAAAGACAGCAGGTTTGATATCTCCCAAAACTTGGGAAAACTTAGATGAAGCGTCAGTTTTTATTATGAACGATTCTCCTTAAGTTGACGAAGATAAATAAGTGACGGACTTTTGTGTAGATACCGAAATCAGAAAAACTAAAGCACTAGACCACTAAATATCGTTTTTAAACACAAAGCAGACCGTATTTCGAATAAGTTATTATGATGGATATTTGCAAAACATACTGGGTCTACTGCAATCTTCTCAAAGTTCTTGACATTATCCTCAGAACCCATTTTGGAAGATTCGAACCTTTCACCACATTTAAGATCAACTAAAACAAACAGTCTTCAGTAATAAGGATAAGAGGTCTGTCGACTTATATTAATCCCTGCAGTTTGTAATACTGTGGAGGTCTAATCTCGCTTTGAATATATTAACAGATGGTGCTGATATTACGTGTTCCGGTAGAGAATTCCAATAATTCACTACTCGATGCGAGAAACGGAACTCCAGACGTAAACGGTTTGATCTCGGTTTTTGAACTGTCTTCGAATGTCCTCTCAAATGATCGGTTCTGGACGGGAGCAAAAAATAAGATATGTTAATACCAAGGTCAGTATACGATAGGCCAATATTAGATCACCCCTTATTCTACGGTTAGATAACGGAAATAAGTCAAGGTGTATCAGTCTGTCTTCATAAGATAGGCCAGATAGACCTTGTACCATCTTAGTACCTCGTCGTTGAAATCTTCCCAGCATATCTGCTTCATACTTGAAACAAGGACTCGCCGCTTGAATCCCATATTCTAAATGTGTTCGCACATAAATCGGGCAGAATAATCTAAACATTTCATCATCTAAATACTGAAAATACCTACGAATATACCATAATACCTTATAGCTTTCTGCAACAGCAGCCTCACAGTGACTAGTCGTTTTGAGATAATTGCTTAATATGACTCCTAAATCTTTATAGTTTCTTACTTTGGGTAGCACGAATCCACATAGTGTATAGTCATACGATTCATCAGAGTTATTTAACTGCATCACTACACTCTTATTAGGATTTACTTCTAGTGACCACCTATCTAACCATGCCACCAATGAGCTAAGATCGTCCTGTAATACTATTCTATCCGACATACCATGAATTGGTCTCCAAATCTTTATGTCATCAACGAAGAGTAGAACGGATGATTTTGCTACGGTTGGAAATTCATTTACATGAAGTAAAAAGAGAAGAGGACTCAGGATTGTACCTTGGGGAACCCCACTTTTTACAGGTACCCACGAGGAGAGAGCCCTATTAACCCTTACCCTTTGTCTCTTGTCATGGAGAAAGTTACTTATCCAATCGACGTCTGTATAATGGATTCCAAAACGTTTCAGTTTGAATTTAAGACCAGAGTGGGAAACCTTATCAAAGGCTTTACTTAGATCTATGAAAATCACATCCACAGGAGTATTCCGATCCTTTGCCGCAGCCCAATCTTCTCGTGCAATGAGAAGATTTGTCAAGCAAGATAGGCCTTTCCGAAAACCATGTTGTTCCCTGGAGAAAAGATTTTGCCCTTCAACATAGTTTATAACAGCTATCCGAATGATTTTCTCCATCAGTTTTACAACTGCACTAGTTAAGCTAACGGGTCTATAGTTACTGACTAAATCCCTACCCCCAGCCTTATACACCGAACTTATTATGGCGTCTTTCCAGTCTCTAGGAAGTCTGGACTGTCTCAGAGATATGTCGAATAGTATCACTAATGCTTCAGCAATTTCATCTGATATGGCTTTCATAATCCTAGGATGAATATCGTCAGGACCACTGGACTTATCAGGTTTGAGATGCTGGAGTAGCCTTAAAACGGTATCTTTCTCAATGACTACAGGATCCATCAGCGAGCCGTCACGGTCGCGCCGAATCATTGGTCGTTCCTCATTACCGCTAGAAAACACTTTACTAAAGTATTCCGATAAAGCTTCAGCTTTTTCGGCATCATTGTCTGCTAAGATTAACGGATTTTCTCGTATCAAAAGTGATGGAATTCCATCACTTCTCTTAGTTCGCCTTTTTATATACGAGAATAACCGTTTCGGACTATATCTAGAATCCCTAACCAATTTTTTTCGTATGATAGTCTAGTCTTACTTATTAACGCTTTACGGGCATTCCTAATCTTACAATAACTGGATCTGTATTGTTCTAAGCCAGTAGAGATGAACATATCCCAGTGATTCTTCCTTTTTTAAGGAGTTTTCTGACCGTTTTAGTTATCCATGGTGGACTATTATTCGGTCTTCGCGGTACCAGGTATGGTATGAACGGGGACGTACCCAGTCTAAATTTACCTTTAAATACAGACCATGCTTCTTCAACTGATATGCTAGTATCTACTAACCAATTTGTCTTAGCAGCACATTCCTGAATAGCTGATATGTTAGCTTTCCATACATTTGGGAATGTCAAACATTTTCAAGATAAATTGTTTAACTACTGAAATGAATAACTTTTGATCCAGCCACTCGAAACCTAAAAGAAAAACCTGTTACTCAGACAGTAAAATACCTTTTGAGAGAAAAGATGACCAAAAAATTATGTCTTTCAGTGACTCCATCTACATTGTATGCTGATTTTTGTCGAAATATACATCCAGGCTTTCCTCGTAAATAATCACCAACTTAAGTCGTGTTAGTGAATAACAGTATCAAACGACTCAACTACGAGAATGGATTTCGAATATATATATCGTTGATCTAAACAGACAATCAGGGAAACGAAGCAAAATGAGCAAAAAGGACAGAGCACAGCGAAATGAATCGAGGAAGGCACATGAGCCAAGTCGATTTAATCAAGCGTGATTCATTATTTATAGTCAAACAAATTACAGAAATATCATGAGTAAGATAAGAGGTGCATACACATACGCTCACATAAAAACGGTCAGGGTTGACTGGCGAATAATTGAGGTTAAAATATGACTCAAGAAGAATGGATATATTGGTATGTCCGGAAGCCAGAATGACCCATATGGGCTCGATATCGTATGAGGCATTACGGCCCAGTGTCTTCAGAAATAAAACAAGTTTTGATCCCCCTTTAAAAAACATCAAAAGTGTCATCTCTAGCATGCACAAATTTAGTGGTTATTCATCTGAGGCCACTTTTAATCACGAGCACAACTGACTAAATGAAGCATAGTCCAAATGAACGTGTAATTCGAACAACGGATAATTCAGTGGCAAGGTTTCACAAAACAAAAAATTAGGACTGGGTTTATTGAGGATTTAGGACAAAACTGAGAACTAGACATGATTCAAAAAATGGAAACTGAGAGAATGATGTTTAGAAAAACATTCATATAGTCCTTCTGTCTGCTAAGAAAACCAAAATCGGACAAAGTAGTTCACCACTTGTTTATAACCTATGAGAATTGATATATGACTATCGTTGGCTGGAATTAATTAAAACGTTCAACTCGTAATTCTAAACTATCACCTGTAGTGACATATGTTTTTTTAACGAATTTTGCTACGAAAAAATGTAATCGTATTTGTTTTCAAACTTATTGCTTCTCTGTATTGAAGATGCCACTGGTATTTGGAGTATGACGACGTTTCAACCAGTAACACCTTCCATTATGAATCGTATCCACCAAGTGAAATCAAAAGTCGGAAGCAAGGAGGTTCGATGATATATTTGACAGGCTATCAATATATCAAGGATCGACTGTTCTTATCTTTGAAGTCACACCTCGCAGTTAGCACCTAGCATGGATCACTATTTCGTCGTATCAAGGTAATATGGCTTCTCTAAAGACCATATAACACAAATAACGATATTATCCAAACACATTAGCAAGGATGTTACATATATTCATTTCGACTATACGGTCAAATTACGCTCTGTCATTTTGAAACCATATATAACCATATTTGACGAAGATTTGCATTTCATATCTGTATTGTATTCCTTAAGGAATTTATAGTTATATCGTATTTGGATGCTTTGACCCACGTACTTTATGTATCTACAGGATCTATTCAAACCTCTACCTAATATCAAGAAATATATATAACCGTGTATGTTAAAGGACTGTACTCACTATTTTATGAACTATCATTTAAATCGTATTTGGATACTATAAATCATTTAATTTCCGAAAATACCTGTCCAGTCCAGTGAGTCTGCCATAGTTTTTTTGACAGTATTTTTTCCAACAAGCTGTTTCATACATTTGTTCATGAAGCAACATAATAATCTTAGACGGTAATAATCTTCTAAACTACTTATCTCTGCATCTCCCAATTTTTACTAATACGGACTTTCAGTTTATATATGTATCACATACCGTACTCACTTTGATACTAATTATCGACATTTCTAAATTACTTTACTATATAAGACTATCTTTCGTGTCATATATATGTTAAAATTTATGCAACTTTCTCCTTTATATTCTATTTTGCCTCCACACAGATACTGACATAAATACTTCATCTCCACTACTATCTTCCTGCCATTGTCACTTTTGTTTTTGACACCATTAATCCTCACGATACATTCACTCTTGGTTAAAACATACATTTTGATTTTTAGACTAACTTGAGCCCTCGGAATTGATTTTTTCACCCCTTTCTATTTCCAACCTTCTGTTCAATCCACTTATTATTATTATTATTCACAAACATCTTATGGGTACATAAGTGTTGTGAAGAAACCATTTCGGGTTTCTTCAGAAAATGCAATAATACACAATTTTCAATAATGTTAGCATTATACTTGCCATATTTAAAAAATAATATAAAATATTAAAAAAAAATTAAGAATAATAATAGTAGAATATTAATAATAATAAATCGGGTCTGTGTAATTGAGAAGAATATTGAATTGAGTTTAAAGAAGGAAATGGAGAAAATAAGGGAATAGAAATAAAGGAGACGTGAAATAAGCAAACAGTCTAATAGGCGAGTTTATGAACAGAGAAGAAGAAGTATCGTTAAATTAGTAACAAAAAAATAATTTATCATTGTAGTAAGATATGACGCTAGAATAAATGTTTGTGCAGTTATAGTTTAGAGTGATGCTATGAAAGTCACAATTAAGTGAAAAGGATAACGAAATATCACTATGTATGAGTCATATATGCATAGTGAAGATAAAACGAATCTGAGAAGTTAATTTAAAGTGTAACACAAGTTATGGTCTTAATTAGAAACTTCATAATCTTAAGAATAAGATTTATTTAGAAGGGAAGAAGAGAAAGAAAAGAAGTGAACACCTAGTGAAAAGGTTCATCCATGATAAGAATAATAATTGTGTAATGAATATCAACCTC